TTTCACCGAGTTTAAAAGATTCGGGTGTTTGTGACTAAATTCCTCCCAAACAACTCCGCCAATTGAGCGAGCTGCCACCTATTTTGCAATTAAAATTTGTATCAAGTGATAAAATAAACGAAATATTAAAATATGGGTATCTAACTGAAGAGATTCAAGTAAGGCTTGATGAAAAAATATTTTAATATTGCAGTATTGCCAGCTGTTTACAAATTTTCTTTTTAAAAAAATATACCATAAAGGGTGATTTTTAAGAGCTATAGGAGAGTTTTTCAAAAAAACACATACAATTCAGAAAAATTGGCATACTCTGATGTTTGACAGTGACACAAATCACGAAGGGTGCGTCAGTTGTTTAAACCAGTGTTGCCAAAAAGATAATTGTCAAAAAAAAAAAAAACACCCTTATAAAAGATTGCCAGGATTTCTCAATTTTTCTCAATATTTGTTTCGATTCAGAGATTTTCTATTTAAGACTTCAGAAATATAATATCATAAATATCTCCAAAGAAAAATAGGTTCTCTATCGTACGTAAATTTTCAACCATTACTGTAGTAAAAGATTTGCCACAGACACATTTGCAAATACTTAATAACACACAACTATTAATTCATGTCATCAAATGGAACCGCCTATTTGTGCCTGACATATGCCAATGTGCAAATTTACCGTTGGTATGTAAAATATTTATAGCCAATGACAGGAATCGAAGATACGGAATTAAGTGCAACGAGATGTTATGCCATTGAAAACAACAGCCAAATGGAATCATTGGACACACGAGACCAAAGACTAAAAAACATATTTACACACAAGCATTAAGGTTAATTAGTATTTTGCGGACAGAAGCGAAAGGATGGTAGCTAGCACATAAGCGGAAAATGCTTGCAGTATTCATTCACGAGCACATGGTGGAAAGGAAGAATCATACATATACATACGTAGTCCACGTCTTATGAGGTTGAATAATGTCTGTTATGTTCAATGAACGGAAATGATGCTGAGAAGCGATTGGATGTTTTATTATTAGACGGACGAAATGGACATAACGTGCCGTATGAAAAAACAGTTCAGCAAGAGAGTACTAAAGCAAGAAAGTAAAGTTGTTGCTTTCATAAAATAATTTCTGTATTATTTGCAATATCAATTCTGTTGTCTTTTGGCAAAAATGACTATTGTGGTTTGTGGTATTAAATATTTTGCGGCGCCAAAAGCCAAAACAATGGCCTTCTCAAGTCTTGAACAAATCAAATCACATACACACAGCTACAAGCAGTTAAAAGTCATCAATCAGGAAATCAATCGCATCAACAGTGATGTTGAGCAAAAGTCGAAGAGACAAGACAAGGAGAGCAATAAGTTGAATCAGAGAGTTCATTGTTATTGTTGTTTTTAGGAATTATAAAAACAAAATTATTTACAAGCAAATATGTTTTTATTATTTCTATTTGTGGTAATCAATTATACTCACTTACTCGCACAAGGCCTTTAAAAGAAGATATGAAGCAGATAATAAATCAATTCTTCAATTAAATTTCTTTTTAGCATAAATCATTGATCTTCGTTGTTATATCACTGAATCATGTTGTATAATGTATATACCAGCTCTTGTATAGGATGTGTTGCGAAGAACGAGCATTGTTAAAGAAAATGTAACAAAAGATAAACAAAATTCCTTCAAAAAGTTTTTGAAATAAAAACAGATATGCGGACAAAATGCATTAAGTAAATTTAAAAAATGGTAAAAAAAAAAAAAATGAGAGAATTAAAAAATAAAAAAATATTATGCAATATTTTTTACTATTACGTTTATTTATTCTCCCATATTTAATTTTTTAATTGTATTTTTTAATTGGAATTTTTTCGTTGCGTTTTTTTATATATTTCTATTTTTTTATACCATTTTTTTAATATTTTTTCTTAATTATTTTTCTTAATATTTTTTTTTAATTTTTTTTTAATTTTTTAAATATTTTCTTTAATTATTATATTTTTTTTTTGAATTTCATTTTCTTATTTCTTACTTCATTTGTTTTATTTCTCTTATCATTTATTTTCATTTTCATATAATATTTTCTTTATTTCATTATTTATTAAATTTTTTTATTTCAATTTTTTTATCTCGTTTTTTATGTCATTTTTTCATTTATTTATTTTGTTATTTTTTTATTTAATATTTTTAATTTTTTTTTATTAATTTTTTTATTTTTTTTTATTTATTTTTTTATTTATATTTTTATTTTTTTTATTTATTTTTTTATTTATTTATTTTTTTTTTTTTTGTAATTTTTTTTCTCGATTTAGTTTATTATATCATTTTATTTTCAATTTTTTATTTCAATTTATATTTAAGTTTATTTTTTTTTAGTTTCTTTTTTAATTTTTTTTATTTTTTTTTTAGGTTTTTATTTAATTTTTTTTAGTTTACTTTTTTTCTTTAATTTTTTTTATTTTACTTTAATTTTTTATTTCTTTTCCTTTAATTTTTTTATTAATTTTTCTTTAATTTAGTTTTTATTTTTTTTCTTTAATTTTTTTTTTATATTTTTTTTTTGTAATTTTTTTATTTTTTTCTTTAGTTATTATATTTTTTTCTTTTATATTTTTAATGTTTTTCTTTAATTTTTTTATTTTTTTTTCTTTAATTTTTTATTTTTTTTCTTTATTTTTTTTTCTTAAATTTTTGTGTTTTTTTCCTTAATTTTTTTTATTTGTTTTTCTTCAATTTTTTTATTTTTTCTTTCTTCAATTTTTTTATTTTTTCTTTCTTTAATTTTTTTATTTTTTTTTTCTTTAATTTTTTTATTTTTTTTCTCTTTAATTTTTTTATTTTTTTTCTCTTTAATTTTTTTATTTTTTTTCTCTTTAATTTTTTTATTTTTTTTCTCTTTAATTTTTTTATTTTTTTCTCTTTAATTTTTTTATTTTTTTTTCTTCAATTTTTTTATTTTTTTTAATATTTTTATTTTTTTGCTTTAATTCTTTTTAATTTTTTTCTTTCCATTTTTTTTTTTTTAAATCATTATTTTTTTTTTAATTTTTGTATGCCACTTTTTTTATTTTATTATTTTATTTCTTATTTAGTTATTTCATTTATCTTTTATTTCTTTTTCTTTCAAATTTTTATTTAATTTTTTGTTTTTCTCTAGATTTTATATTTTTTCTTAATTTTTTTAGTTTTTTCTTATTTTTTATTTCATTTTTTTCTATTTCATGTTTGTATTATTTTTTATTTCAATTTTTAATTTTTTTTATTTTTTTTTATTTTTATTTTTTTTTATTTTTGCTTTTTTTTATTTTTATTTATTAAATTTTAATTTAATTTTGTTATTTTTTTATTGTGTTAGATATTTTACTTTTCTATTTTTTTTTATTTCTATATAATTTTATTATTTTATTAAATTTTAATTTAATTTTGTTATTTTTTTCCTTTTTTTACGACTTTTCATTTTTTTTCCTTTTTTTATGATTTTTCATTTTTTTAATTTTTTTCACTTTATACTTTTTCTTAATTTTTGTTTCAAATTTTTATTTTTTTTTCAAATTTTTATTTTTTTTTTATTTTTAAATTTTTTCATCTCATTTTTTATTTCTTTATATCGTTTTTTTTATTTATTTTTTCATTTCATTCAGTTCCGAGAGCTGAAGAGGAAGCAAGTTGCATTTGCTGACAAAAAAAAAAAGAGTGAGTGTTAAGAGTTTGAGACTTTGCCCGACAAAAATACGGCAACTTACAAAAGGGTGACCCAGTCACTGATGCCAATAGTATACTGAATTTATGGACACAACACTTCATAAGTCTGCTGACTGGTAGTGATATTGAAACACCAGGAGATTGTGAACCCGAAACCCCAATCGATAGTGATGAAAAAACGTTTCGTTACCCGACTATGACGAGGTTCGAATAACGATTGCCTGTTTCAAGAACAATAAATCGGGTGAAGCTGACGGCCTACCAGTAGAACTATTCAAACATGGCGCTGAAGAACCGGCACGATGCATGCATCAGCTTTTTTGCAGAATATGGTCGGCCGAAAGCTTGCCGACACTCGGTAGCTACTGCAATTCGATGGATATTCCTAAACTCGTGTGGTACTAGGACACTGCGCTGAAAAATATCGCAGTTCTCAACGGTATAAGCTAAAATGTATAATAATGGCTCTATGCTGACTTTCTCAACGATACGTATACTCTTAAATAAACTAATAAAGTATTAGAAAAACTATAAAATATTAATTTACAATGGAAAAAACGCAAAACGAATCAACATGGAAATTTGAGCATACCCGATATCATATTGCAAGCATTATATATAAAAATCTTTGAGAGCATAAAGAAGAAAGAAAAAAGTGATAGAAAATGCGATGCGCAGTACGAGTATTGATTGCGAGAGGTTACACACAGCCACATGCAACCGGAAATTCACTCGGGCACACATACACAATCTCAGATAACGAACGAATGAACGCTTCAGTAAGTTGCTTGCTCTTAGTAAAAAATACAAAATAAAAGTAGAATAAAAATTAAAAACTATATAAAAAAATATAAAAAAAACCTAAAAATTTGGTAAAAATACTAAAAGATTTTGAGACAAAATATAAAAACAAAAAACGAGACAAAACAAAAGGCAAAAAATAAAATAAAAATAAAGCTAAAAAACGTGAAAACCCGTTGCAAAAAACTGATGCAATTTTCGACAGCACAAATCACTGCACTCGAGCCACCCACAGGCCCCCCTCTCCAGCCCCAAACTTACATACAGCAATTCCCAACATTCGAGTGTTCGTTGCATCACTTCAAATACGATGAAGCAAATACCATTAAAATTGAAACAGTTCGAAACGACAGCGACAAAAAAGTCACAAAAAGTAGGATCACATGTTGCCAAGAAGCGAAAAAAAATATATATATTTTTCCTTTGAATGTGTCTTTTATATCTATATATATTTTTAATACAGAAAAAAAGCTTACTAAAAACCCTTAAACTACGAGTACTTACCTCAACGGAAATGGTGAATAACGGTGCATGCACCGGCCCGGTTTGTGACTCCAATTTATATACCAAGCCATGACGTAGCTCATTCAACATGGCAACGGTATTCTTGGGTTGCGGTATACGCTCTTTGCCCGTACGTGGCTTCTTCTTGGGCAACACTGAGAACACAGAGAAAAGAGAGTGAAAATGAGAAAATAAATGCAGATACTAAAAAGTTGCGATTTCCATACAAAGGCAGCTTAATTACCTACACAAAACGGAAGCACACGAAAACATCAACGAACGTTTACAGCAACAACAAACAAATAAATAAATACAGCTTTGACAATCACTCAAATTGCCAGCGAACTAGACAGCCAGCCATTCAGCCAACGAGTCTGTCAGCTAATTAACTTAGTGAAAGTCATGCCGGAAATGAGAAAACTTCCGCCCCAATACAGTTATATTGCAGCGCACTTACCTGAATACTTCGAACCCTCATAACGACGTTTCGATGGTGACTTGCGACTATACCCATTCATATTTGGATGATCTGGTGTTGGTAGTAGTAAGGGCTGTAGACGAGTTGTGGAATTGAGGAGAAGAGAAGAGAAGAAATCAGTTAAGTTAAATTAAATTTGAATTTGATTGAATTGATAGATAGATATATATGTATGAATCAGTACACAATACAAACAAGCAGGCATACAACATACATACATACAACAAGCTAGCAAGCGCACCAACTATTATACCTACATACACACATATATACATTTGTATATTACAATTAGATTAGAATATAACGGTATTAATAGTTTTTGGTTGATAGACAACTAAACAAACATTCATATGCTTTGATAAAATTATTGGTTATACGAAATATACCGTTATTGAATTACAATTCAACATATAATTGAGGGAGACATTTTAGGTTCAAAGGTAAAGGCAAACACATCGGCAGTAAAACTGATGAAGAACTACAATAATAATATACATGGAAAATAAGCGCAAATTAAACTAAAAAAAGAAAATAAAACAAAAATAAAGTAAAGTAAAATAATAAAAAAATAAAATACAACAATTATTAGTAGACCAAAGCCAAAAAAATAAAATAAAATTAATAAAATTAAATTCGGATCAAAAATAATTGAATAAAACTTACTAAAAGCATAAGAAATACAAAAACTCTAAACATATAAATTAAAAAAATTCGAAAATAAAATTAAAAAATATTATTTATGCATTTTTTATTTTTTATTTATTTTTATTTTTATATTACTGATGGATAAAAAAACGAAAATATGTTAAAAATTTTAATAAAAAAATAAATAAGAAGATTAATGATTGATAATCAATAAATGAAAATGTATTAATATTTAGCACTTATAGGGCTCGCAGTCACTGGTAGATATGTTAATTAATCTTTTAAATATGAATAACACATTTACACACAACATTGATTTATTTATATCATATTTTAGTATTATTTTTTAATTTATCATAAATTTGGTGCACAGTTAGGTCTACACATATACTACATTGAGAGAAGTGTACAGAATATGAATATGAGTTGTATGGACATAAATTACTACCATTAAAAATGTGTAAAATGTAGTTGCAAGTGTGTATGTGTAATAAATAAATATTTTTTAATATCATTATTAATTTTTTTATTATTTAGCTTTAATTTTTTGTATTCTTTAGTTTTAATATTTTACTTCCTGTGTTTTTATTTTTAACTTTTTTGGTCATTTATTTTCATTTATTTTTCATTATTGAACTTTTTTAAATTTTTAACTTATATATTTCTGTTTGTCCTTATTTGATGATACGATGGCAACAGAAATCCCAGATATAAAGTAAAACAATTTGCCTTAGCTCAGAGTTCAAATATATATTCAACAGCTTGCGCTCAAAATTACAAAAAGAAGAGGAATGAAGAAGTAATACAAAAGAAAAAGGAAATGTAATATCTAAATAATGACTAGAAAAAAGAGATGCCATATTGACATGCATATTGTAATAAGGAAAGTATATAAAGTAAATATTTCCAACATTTTATTTCTTTTATTAGATAATTTTTCTCATAAATTTTTATAATCTTTTATTTTTATTTATTTTTAATTTTGTTCCTTGTTAACTTTCTCATAATTTTTTATAATCTTTTATTTGTATTTGTCTTCAATTTTGTTCCTTGTTAGCTTTCTCATAATTTTTTATAATTTTTTATTTATATTTATTTTTAATTTTGATCCTTGTTAACTTTTTCATAATTTTTTATAATCTTTTATTTTTATTTATTTTTAATTTTGTTTCTTGTTAACTTTCTCATAATTTTTTATAATTTTTTATTTTCATTTATTTTTAATTTTGTTTCTTGTTAATTTTGAATAACTCTTTATTTAATTTAACCATCATTAATTTATTTTTTACGTCTATATTTTTTCGTTATTTACTTTGTAGTTTTATATTTTTTTACTACTTTTCGTTTGAATTTTATTTTCCATGCTTCCAATTTTTATTTATCTTCTAAATTTGTCTGCAATTTTTATTCATTTTTTCAATTTTATCTTTTTTGGTAGATCTATTTTTCACAATGTCGAAGCCATGTTTTTACCTTTTTAATTTTATTATCTTATTTTCCTTTATTATTCATTTATTTTGTAATTATTCTTTGTAACAAATTTATTCATTTCTTATTTACCTTTATTATTTACTTTATTAACATAAATTTTTTTTTTAACTTTTATTTATTCTTTTTTAAAATTATCTAGTCTTTTTTAACTTTTATTTACACTTTTTATCTTTTATTTATTTATTTTTTTACTTATTTAAAGTTTTCATTATTTTCTTAAATTTATTTTTTTTACTTTTTGTTTTTAGATTTTTATTTTATATTTTTTATTTCGCTTTTAGTTTTTTAGTTAATTATTTTAACTTTTTTTTAAATTTTTTTAGTTCATTATTAATTTCTTTTTTATTATTTTTTTATTTTTGATTATTTTTTTCGATTATATTTTTTTTTTAATTTTTTTCTCCATTATAATTTTTTTTATTTTTCCGATTTAAAATTTTTTTATATCTTCAATTTGCTTGTAATTTCCTTATAATTATTAATTTATTTTTTGCTTATATTTTTGCTTTTAAATTTTTATGTTTCGTAATTCCTGTTCAAATTTTTTTTAATATTATTATTGGATCATATTATTTATTGTTATATTTGGGTCATAAAAATTCTAAGAACATGAAATTTCGCATAACACATATATCACATTTGTACCGAAAGTTATGGAAATCGGAAGGCACAAACCAGAATGCAGTACAATAAATCTGATATGCTAATAAAAGGGAGAAGGGTTTCGGTATTGCATAAGAAAAACAGATCTTCTTTGCTGTTTTATTTATTTTATTTTTATTTTTGGAAAAAATCTTATTTTTTTAATACTCTATTATTTGAATATCCTTTCATTCTACATGTTTTTAAATTTATTTTTAATTATTTTTGGGTTATATTATATTATTTATTGTCATTCATTTCATTTTAAACTTTTTTATATTCATCTTTTATTTCTTTATATTTTTTTTGTTTTTGTATTTTATTTTAATTTATTTTTTTGTATTTTATACATTATATATATTATTATATATGTTGTATTATATTCTTTGTTAATTTTATTCATATGTTTTTTTTATATTATTTGCTTAATAATTTTATTTATATATATTATATGTATTTAAATCGAATTTGTTCATATTGGAAATTATAAGAATATATTTTTGAATGTACATATATAATCGATTAAGTGAAAATATGGTATTTTTACTGCATATAAGCGAGGTCACTCATACGCCATGGCGAATGATCTCTTCATTAAACCAATCATCATTTAAAAAGTCAATATTAAAATTATAAAAACCCTCGAAAAAGATTGAAAATTTTGTTATTGGCAATAAGAAAAGATAAAATCGCACACATAACTTGCCGTTGGCTTTTAAGAATTTCGTGTGCTGAAATTATGAGTGATTTCAGCAGCTGCTGCTCACAGACAGGTGTAGACAACATATTAATGATAACATTTTTATATTTCCACTTCTCTTTAATGTTGTTACGCGAAATATGTATTACAAAGTGTCAATAACTTTTCAGTTAAATCAAAGCATTGAAGCGTAAATCATCAAAAAATAAACTCATGGAAATGGTGATGATGATGAGTTGAGATTATCATGTAAATAGCTTTTGAGATTTACAGCAATAACAAGTCAAGTAAAGAAATTGAGATATAACTAAGAGGAAATGGCTTCACAACATTCAAAGACATACATACACGTACATAAACGGCTCACATGAGTTTGTAATTATGTGTGTTGTACATTGAAGCGCGCATGAATTTACAACACACAAACAAGCAAACTAAACGAAAAATAAGCGGCAAGAATGTGAAAACTGATAATATAAAGTGTGTCATTTCGTACACTTGTCCTTGCCGGCAGGTGTGCGCAGCGCCATAAGCTAAGCGTTCTTTTTGTCATATTACGCCAGCTCCCCTTATTGAAGCTTCCTTTTCTTCTCATTTCTTTTCTTTCCATTTCTGTCATCTTTGTGTTTTGGCACTTGTTCTTTAGCGCACGATATGTCTTGTGTTCTTTTTTATATAATTTCTCTGCGGCTTTTATATTTTGGCACATTTGCCAACATTAAAATTGTGTTACTACCTTTCTTGGCATTCGCCCTTTCGTATGTGCACACATACCAATGAACTTACGAGTTTTAGCAAGAAAACAAGAGAAAAGAGGTAGCCCTTCTTGACTACTTGCCAAATTTCTCATTTGCATTTTCATTTCCATTCCACCACATTTCCGACATTTGCAACATTTTCTCTGCACTTTTTAAACATTTTTTTTCTATTATTTTCGTTTTTTTTTTTATTTATTTTATACTCATTACATTTTACTGCCTTGCATTCTTCTTTTTCACATAAATTTTACGAAAAACAATCTGAAATTAGTGATAACTACTTGGCGGAGCGGTAATGCGCCTAGTGGTGGCGTAGTGTGAGCGAGAGAGCATGCTGCTTTGTTTTTGGCTTAATGAATGAGCACTGAGTTACTTTCTTTGCTCGTTGCATTAGTGCCGCTTGAGTTTTAGTGAATTAATTATTTGCTTGAGATTTGCATTTTTTCTGAGTAATTAATAAGTTGAAACAAAAATCTGAGATTAAAATCGGTAATTAGAGCAAGAGCGGCGATTGAATTATTTGAGTCTCGGTAAGAGAAACGGGTTTAACAAAGTGTCCGCCAGGTGGCACTCAGCACGGCAGCTGGAAATATTGTGTTTTATGGGTCTTATAGCGAATAAATCATAAACATTCATATAATTGGTAAAAATTTATACACTAAAGGGCTTGAGTAGTTAATCTGGCTCGTGCTGTGCGCATACCAAGTCGGACCCAATTCGACAACTACTACAACTACAGCTACAACTTGTCATTTTTTAACTATTCCTAAGAATATTAGGTCTGAGACAGCTCCATTAAAACTAAAACCCCAATATTTTTTTTATTTCTAGTGCAAT